TCTACGTGAATACATACACTTGTGATACATGTGATATGATATGAGATATATGGTTACACATACATGTGGTATATGACAGAAGAGAAATAACAAGTGATATGAAATGTTATAAATGATAATGCCCATGTTATGTGATATGAGAGCTAGGGGTATAGTTGGCATGCCAAGAGTCGAGGGTTTACCTTTGTCTTTCGAGACATATGGACAGTTTACCTAGGTTCTTCGGGACCTATGGACAGTTTACCTAGGTTCGTCGGGACCTATGGACAGTTGTCGAGGTTCTTTATGACCTCTGGATAGTTACCGGGGTCTTTGTGACCTCTGGATAGGTCCTTCGGGACATTTATACGAGCTGTGGTGACAACATAGTGGTGCACAACCTCAATAGACTCACGTATCTACAGTTCTCACATGTGTACCATGGGCTAATAAAGAGATAATATTAATAAACTGGATATGATGATATGTTTGTTTCCTTATGAAAGGTTATGTGTGATATATGATGGTACAAATGGTAATTATAAGATTATACGATAAAAGGAATCAATGATAGTGATAAGAATGAAGATGATGATATAGTTACTTGTGTGTTTGATTTACAATAGGATATATGTTTTATATGACATGATATATATATATGTTATATGGCATACGTGAGTACCTGTTAAGGTATATGTGAATGAGTATAATTGATTGACATGATGATATAATAACAAGTCTATCAGATATATAATATGGACATAAAAGATCATAGGAACAGGAGATAAGAGATAGGAATGATAATGACATATATGTATGTATGTATGTATTTGTTACATATAACAGTATATGAGTTGTAAGAAATGATTACTAGTAAATGTTTACATTATGTGTTTATTGCCTCACTAAGTCATAGACTTAGCGTGTGATTGTTTCACACGTAGGTTACAGAAATGAGAAGAGTAAAGAACAATGTGGAGCAAGACAGGTCAGTTCCCCTTACCGAAGGTCAAATCAGAAGAAAGATGAATAATATGTATGTTAACAACTAAAGTTTTAGTTGGCATGTATTCAAAATAATGTATTGTATAAGCTCTGAATAGTTTTATAAACGTTTTGAATAAGTTATATGTTATAAAAAGTTTTAAATTATTCACTAATTTTGTACAAGCAAAAGTTTTGAAAAGTCAATGTGATACCTCGGACTCGGATCCGGGTCGGATACGGGTTAGGGGTGTTACAGTAATTAGCTGAAAACAACTTCCCCCTACATGCTTTCTAATAACACAAAATATTCTTAGCATTGTGTTCATCATTTTCTTTTGAAGAATTAAGTCTTCCGCTTTTCTACTCCATTTAATTCAAGAGAGAATGATGGTGTCACTTCATGAATAATTTATTCACCAACATAATCACTTCTTACCATCTTAATATTTTTATTAAGTTAGTTTTCAACTTTAATTTCTCTATAATTTCATTTTTTTCTCTTCAGTAAAAATATGACAATACTTTTTTCTATCACCAATGAAAGTAATAAAATATTTATTTCTTCTTGTTTGTAAGAGTAGATTAAATAAACTCATTAAAACAATAGGAATTAAATTTCTAAAATTAAATTCATTAAAATTAATCCTTTGATTTTACTTTTGACAACCAAATAATCAAAAGCCTTGGTTTAAACTCCGAATCCGTTTGTATCTAAAAAATATTTTAAAAGAAATTATTAGTATGATAATAACATTTATAATGTTTCCAAAACACAATCAATAATTATTATAACATTTAATAATAATTATGAATATCAAAGATATTCTTTTTTATGTTATATTTAATATTCCATATTAATAGGCCAAAAATTATATGATAATAATACTATAGCGATAATATCATGGTTAATGCTGACATGCAATTCTATGGACGAAATATTATCATATTAATATTCCTCAATAATACCATAATATATATAGAATCACATTGATTCTTTAATTGTTCTGCATTTATAGGCAACAACCACATATAGAACAAAATCCATTGATAAAGAATCATATTTATTCTTTATTTTTGATTTTTTTATCTGACATAATCAACATTCTGAAACAAAATCAGTAACCAACGTTATTTTAATGACAATTTCTATTTAAATAGATTTGTCCACTTTCATCAAACTCTTTAAAATGAAAGGATAAATCTAAAATAATGAATTTATTTGTTTTTCATGATTTTCCCAAGATTTTTAAATCGTCTCGAATTTTTTTTTAAAAGGGTATAAGATAAAATATGTCTTAAGATTGCTAGAAGAAGTATAACAATCCGAGACGATAAAATAAAATAAAATCTAATTTAAATAATCAAAAAGAACGATATAGAAATAAATACACATTTTTGATAGAATAACCAATTGAAACGAGTAATTAACCCTAAACCATAGTTATAGATAGTATATATATATATATATATATATATATATATATATATATATATATATATATATATATATATATATATAAACTATGTATATAAACTATATTGTTTATAGATAGTAGTATAAACTACATAGTTTATATATATAGTATATATTGTTTATATATAGTTTATATACTACTATCTATAAACTACCTAATTTATATATATATATATATATATTGTTTAAATATAGTTTATATACTACTATCTATAAACTACATAGTTTATATATAATTCCATAAATTAAGTAATTAACCCTAAACCATATATACTATATATATAAACTATATAGTTTATATATAGTTTTTATTAATAAACTATAATTTATACATAGTATATTATTTATAATTATACATATATAAATATAAATTGTATAGTTATATATAATTCATATATAATCTATATATAAACTATATGATTTATATTAATAAACTACGTAGTTTATATAGTTCAATAGTTCATATATAAACTATATAGTTTATACACGGTATATATAGTTTATACATATATATATAGTTCATATATATATAAAATAAACTATATAGTTTATATTATATATATATATATATATATATATATTAATTATAGTTGCTTCAATTTTTTTAAATTTTTGAAATGAATGTAATTTAGTCCATTTTACATATTTTCTTCACATTTTACAATTATTTCGATTTGATCTCTTTGTGTTGTTTAATTTATTTAAATTTTTATTTGAAATTTTATATTTGTTCAATTTAGTCATTAAAATTATATTTGCATATGAAATTGACCCATACTACTTATTTATATTTTTTAATTGACCCATAACTTTTTAAATGGGTATAATTTAGTTCTTTTTTGTATTAATTTCAACTTCACATTTTAAAATTATTTCAATTTGGTCCCTCATCAATGTGTGTTGTTTAATTTATTTAAATTTTTATTGTAATGTCACATTTGTTCAATTTAGTTCTTAATTTTTTTTTTTCATAAAATTGATCCATGATTATTTATATTCTTAGTAATTTACTCTAAATCATATACAATTATAAATTGTAATTCGACGTTCGCGAAATATGAAAATAATTAATCCAAAAATAAAAATTGACCCGATTTGAACTTACTTTGTATCTGATAGAGATCCGACCTACATTTTATTTGCCAATGATGTGACCCGATCTAAACGAGATCCGCCTGAAGTCTATCCGTATCTGAATTAACATGGTCTTTAACTTCTCCGGGCCTGAACTTTTTTGACATGAACTGACATCAATTCGAACTGAAAATAACCCGACCTGAACCTAAACAGTATCTGGTGTCAAATCAACCTGAAAATGTATCTGATTTGAGCTGGACCTGACCTGATCCGAGTCGAAACATCAAGTTTACCTGACTTGACTTATATCCGATCTTACCCGACCTAACAGGATTCGAATTAAACCTCAACGATTACCCGATTTTACATCCTATTTGAAACTATGATTCTATTAGGCAGCAGCACTCGTAGACGTTTCATGCACCTAAATTTGACGACTCTTTACGTCCATATATTAATTAATCATATTCATAGCCATAGGCAAGTACAAACTATTGTATTGGATTGTAGGCCTGGGTTTCACTCAATCATAGTCATAGCTGCCGATAAGATCAAATTGTAATTATCAATGAGTTTTATGAAAATAATTATAAATCTGAAAGTGACTTCCTTGTATTACTTCATCACATAACATTTTATATAATGGTTATAGGTGATTATCAGAATCATTCAAGTACTTTCATGAACCATGTATTTATGTATTCTAGTTAAGTAACATTCATGCATGGCTATTAAATCCATCCATCCTAAATACATTCATTAAACACAAATAAATAAAAGTAAATAAATTGAAATATTTTAAAATTTTCAAATTACAATAACAAAATTCATATATGTTTTTCTCTCTTCTAGTTTTTTCGTCTTTAACTAGTAGACATTAATTTCTTTTATTCTTAGGTAAAAACAACACTTTCACAAGAAAATTTAGGAACAAAATGTGGCAAAGATTTTGAAGTAGTTTCTGTTTCAAATGATGGCGATATGATTTATATAAATCTTATGTAGGGTTAGACTCGTATCAAGTTATTTTTAGCTTTGGGAGTTAGAAATATTCCTATGGGTTTGGAGATATATATCCTTGGTCAAAATCTAAAGTCTTGTAAGCTCCATGTTTTCCTCGTGGCATCAGTGGCCGCTGGTTAGCAGTTTCCAACGTCGCTTGAAACATTTGTTTGGTCAAATTAGCCGTCTTTAGTTGCTTACGTGGAAATTAGATGCGAATCACTTGGAATATGAGATTTGGAACCCAAACCATGAATCTGGGTTGAACTTTGAAGTTTATACGTACCTCATGCATGCTTCGTCAGTCTGTAAACAATATGAAAACCGAAAATGACACGAGGCGGAAAAAATAAAGAGATTTCCTGGCAATACATACGGAAAACCCGAAAAAGTATAATTCAATTAGGAGCTACTGTTAGCGTGTATATACAAAAAGTATGGTATTAATATATTATACAACATGAATGTATAATTTGTCAATGATAGGAATGCGTTAAATATTTCTCCTGCATAAAGGACAAGATTTATGCCCATTTAGCCACGTTTGAATACACCATCTATGGAACTTATGGCGACAATTTGGCAAGCTATGAACAATTTCCCCACGTACCAAGTCCTGTAAATTTGAAAACAAAAACAAGAGAGAATGAGCAATGATTCAGCTATTTGGATTACGTAGCAGTAGTGGGTGAAATTTTGATGAACCTCAAGGCATATGGAACAGCAGACTGGGTTCCTGGATGAATCCCATACTTCTTCTGTGACTCTGATGCTTGGAATGCTCTCTATTTCATCCTTTGACAATCCTTCATTAAGGACCACTCCGTTGAATGCGTTTATCTAATGAAAAAACCAAACTCAAGCATTAAAATAAGTAACACTTTCGCAGAAAATACTAACAACTTTTGTAATGTCTTACCGGTGGGAGGAAATAACTGGTCCCCATATCATCGGAACTGCAAACCACGAGTAAAATTTTAAACAAGTCGATTGAGAAAGAACCGCCCCTTATGGCTCCGACTGTTGCTCCATTGAGACAACCGATCTTGGTTTTTGCTCCGACAAAAGCTCCAACCAGGGATCCTAGTGTTGCTCCAACTGCAGACAAAATCCAGATTCTTGTTACTTCTGTCATGTGTTCAAAGGGAAATGAGCAAGAAATGTAAAACAAATGGCACAACGAAGACCGTGACAAACCCACTGCAAATATAAAGACGCAGATTGCACAGAACAATTTAGAAATAACCAGTGACGCTGCTGAGCAGCACAATTCCCTTGCCTCTTCAGCTGAAAAAGATGACATTATAACATAAGGGCAGATGGTAAGGTTCATTGAGATTAAGGGGCAGATGAAAGTTGAGAAAGAATAAAATAAACACTGAAATTGTATAACGAGAGTCCGTTTTCTTTTATAAAGGGTCTGGGACTTGAATTTTCAAATTCTTTAATGGGGAAGCCGCCGCGGTGTTATGCATATTATATTAACTGAAATGCAAGTTACATCCAATTTGATATATAGAAGGTTTAATATTAAAATAAGTGTTAAAATTATATCGTTTTTCACGAATAGGTACTTAAAAGTATTTTTTACTTATTCCAATGTCTAAAGTTTCAAATGTTCCTAATTTAGGTGTCTGAGTTGTTAATGATGTGAATTTCTTCCATTCAGTGACACATGTCACAATACTATGATTTTGAAATTTATTTTTTAAATATTAAAAATATCATTATATTTATAAAAAATATTAATTTCTCTTAAATTATAAAAAAAAAATCCAAAATCCCTAAAATCTCTAAATCCTAACCTTAACCAGTTGTCGCCGCCCTTTTCGACCACGACCACCACCGTTGATGTAGTCCTTATCATCCTCCTAGTCATACGTCACCGTAGTTGCTGTCGATTGACTGTCAGAATCACATGGGATCACGATTTTCATCCTACGGTTTACAGGGAATAAAATGTTGATTCTATGTCTATTAATCGTCGATCAGTCACGATTTCATAGGGGTTTTGGTCATTGGGGGAGGTGAGGTCTGGTGGAGTTTCGCCAACAGCAAAATGTAATGACCGGTGTGGGTTTAGAAATTGAAATGAATGTTTTCAAAGTTTTGGGGTCATTTCAAAATGTTTATGTTTTTTTAATTTTTAATTTTAATTTTTAAATAAATTTTTTAAAATTATCAGATTATGACACATGCCGCTTAACACCGTTGACAACCCAGATACCTAAAATGATAACGTTTGTGATATTAAATATTAAAAAAAATCAAAAAATATTTTAAGTACATATTCATAAAAAACGATATAATTTAAATACTTATTTTTTTTTATAGTAAACCTGTATAGAATATCCAACCCAGGTGCAGTGAAAAAGAAAAAGATTGACCTAGTACTAGTTAATTTCAACTTATTCCACTTGCTGGCATGATATTAAAATATTGATCCTGCATGCATATATATGACGTGTCCAATGCCTATCAAACGAGACCAACACCAAGTCAAGCTTTGATTTTACTTTTAGATACTATTGTTAGATTATTATATTAATTTATTCATACAAATATATAACTATCTTGTAAACTTATGTTGGCAGAATTAACTTTTTAGTCCCTTAATTGTATCATTTAATTCTTTTAACTCTTGAACTTTTATTAAGTTTTTTCTTTTTAGTTTTTGATTTCATTTTTTTTATCAAATTGACATAGTGAAACGATAAAGTTATTTTAGCTGTCAGATCGAACTTCGACTGACATCTTATTCTCAAATCTTCTCATCCTCATCTACTTTCCTATCGTCCAAATTAACGAGAAAGTCATTGAAGATCCTCCAAAGCCTCTTAGTGGACTACTCAAGAGCCCTTTCTTCTTCCTTTCTTATTTTCTCTTATTGCTTTTGGAATGCTTAGGAGGGCGGAAGGGTTAGTTGCCCTTTAAAAGTTAAAATTATCATAAATTTTAAACTTTTTTTTTATCTATTTTTATTAAAAATTTATTTTCTTCCTCTCTAAAATTTTAAAAGTTCGTGTTCGTCCCTCAAACATAAAATCATGCGTCCGTCATCGGTTATAATATTGGATTTGTTGGGCACTAACGGGTTGGTGTTATATTTAGTTGAGAATTCTTACCGAATTAAGTTGAGATTTGGGTTGGGTTCTCATGTACTTAGTAACATACGTATGATTTTATGTTAGGGAGTGAAGTTATAAAATTAATTTTAGAAAAAAATATAATAACATTTGAAAAATTCAGGATACTGTATTCACCTCCTCTCAATCCATGGTGTGCAGGTTGATGATGGATGAGACTTGGTTGGTAGTGGTGTTAAAGGTTTAGGGTTAGGCCACTGTGTTGCAAGGGCAGTGCATGATACTCAAGACAATCCAATATGAATAATAATTTTAACATATAAACTCATGAGAAATGAATAAAAAAAGTTACAAATATGGGAATCTTACCATTTGAATTGTGATCAGGTGCATAATCAATAGTCTAATGGTACATTTAACTTTGTTTATCTTCTCCCACAATCAAAGCTCAACAAAGATATAGTGGAAACAAAAAGGTGAGGAATGATACTCGAGACAATCCAAGAAGCAAAAGCAAAGCAGCTCACCTAATAAAGCACCAACGTAAATGCAAGCTAAGCTATTCTTCTTATGTAAAAACAACAATAAGAATGATATATTGTCCCCCCAATCCAAGCTCTAAACTCGAAAACATCCATCAATGGGACTTTGCCAATCTCTGGGATTCTGCTTGACAAGATCCCACTCTTATGACATCCCAATCTCTTCCTCATCTGACTCTTCTCCTTCTCCATCTCAACAACACTTTACCCCTTCTTTTTCTAATACTTCTTCCTCATCCCATATCGGTACCATTTCGCACAAACCATACGTTGATGTCACCATCTTTTATGATCTTCACAAAGAGTAAAGCAGAGGTCAGTTCAGCATCACTTATCTCTGCATCGACAAGGCAACGGGAAGAAAATACGCCAGCAAATCCATTTCAACTCATAAACTAACCACCGAAAAGGAAAGAGAGGATGTTAGAAGAGAGGTTTTGATACTACAGCACCTGACTGACAGGGCAACCGAATATTGTGGAATTCAAAGGTTCTTACGAAGATAGGAAGAATGTGCATTTGGTGATGGAACTGTGATCGGGTGGCGAGCTTTTTGATCGGATAATAGCCGAGGGGAGTTATTCGGAACATCAAGCGGCTTCTATTTTCTGGCAGATTGTGAATGTGGTGAAAAGTCATACTTGGAAAACTTTCAAATGAAAAGGATTGGCTTATTTTGCTTTTAGTCCTGATGGCTCTTCAAATGTTGATGAATGATTTTGTTGCAGAATGCAGACACCGAGAAAGAAATCTTCAAAGCAGTTTTAGAAGGTAATCTCGACTTGAAAAGCCAGCCATGGCCATCTATATCTGAAGGTGCAAAGGACCTCATCAGGAAGATGCTGGCAAGGGATCCCCAAGAAACTGGCTACATCTGCTGAAGCCCTAGGTAAAAAAGTTAATGTTTCTAGAGATTTTATAAGGCAAATCCCTTCAAGATAATGGAAAAAGGGATGAGTTAGATTGACAAAATTGAAAATTGGGTCCATTTTGCGTATATGAATCAGACCATCTATGGATGGAGGGTGGCGATGCACCGGCAACCCTATCGATGATGCTGTTCTTAGTAGATTAAAGCAGTTCAGAGTAATGAACAAGCTCAAAAACTGGCCCTAAAAGTATGACCTACGCCTCTGTTCTTTTCATGTTATACAGAGACACTTTTATCTTAATGTACTCCCCCCAACTGATATCTTCATTTGTAAATTTGATTTCCGGAAGGTGATTGCAGAAAGCCTATTATCAGAAAAAGATATCTAGGACCTGAAACAGATGTTCAAAAACATCGACGCGGATGGAAGTGGTACAATAACACTAGACGAACTCAGAGATGGATTAGATCGATTGGGATCGAAGTTAACCGAGCCAGAAATAAAACAACTTATGGAAGCTGTAAGATCTTATCCAACTAAATGATCCCTCCTTTCCACCTATATTCCATTTATTTAACAATGTAACAAGCCTAAACCTTATTTTGTCAGGCCGGTGTTGACAACAGTGGAACCATTGACTACATCGAACATGACTGCAACAATGCATCGACATAGTCTTGAGAGGGAAGAAAACATAGTCAAGGCCTTTAAGTTCTTTGAGAAGGATAACAGTGGGTTAGTGCATTGCACTACTGCCTTTCCAGTTTTGAACATTACTTGATTGAATAACTTTGTCTTCGTTATGTTTTTAATTCAGGTTTATTACAAGATATGAACAATGGGAGATGAGGCTACAATTGATGAAGTCATTGAGGATGTTGATAATGATAAGGTTTTCTTTTCGTTTTTTTAAGCAAATTGTGTCTTTCTGTTGGTTTCTTTGCTTCACATGATTTTAATGGCAGGAAGGGAGGATCAATTATGAGAAATTTGTGGCCATGATGAAAAGGGGAACTAACTGAGAAAGGGTCGGACTTCAGCCTCTATGCATCTTCATAATTTTAAATTCATCGTTAAACTTGCGCATCTTCGCTGGTAAGCGATCATCCTTTATATTTTACACGCGGTTGACAACAATCTGCTACATTGAATTCTATTTTTGAGTTAGAGGATTACATTAAGATAAAAATAGTATGAGTGTCCCATTTAATTTTTTAAAAAATAAACTTCATTTTCTTTTATTTCAGTGGTACAAAATTTAAAAAACTGTACTAACCTTGAAAAACGACGTCCAATTTTCGAAATATACCAAAATTTGTGAAATTACTTATAAAGTGAGAGACTCGACAGTAAAAATTTAATTTTTGTTATTTGATTTAGTTATTACTTTTGCAATAGACAATACTAATATTTTTATTTTACAGTATTTTTTTTTACTTGCACCCCTTATTATCGTGCGGAGTGACGGTTGAAGCCTTGAGGCTTGAGGAGTGGGTGTTTTGCCTGCATCTTCATTTTTTAATATTAGATCTACGTCTATGCTAAAAAAGGAGTAAGGTCTGTGGTTCGATAAACCACGCATGGTATGGAATGGAATTTTTACGAAGAAAGCTCGATGAAAATCACACTCGCAGCTACGCACTCTCTCTGTTGCAAGCTGTATTCAGCATAGACTGCATAGTATGCTATGGATGGCTTTAAAAGGCATAACTATTACTTCATTTACCTGACCAAAGAAACAAGTCTTAAAATATTATTTGTTTGTGAACGTGAGATGAGAGAAAAGTTGCTTTTGTCCCAACTTCTAACTGCCGAAACAACGAGTTAAACTGCTACTAG